TGGAGAGAAAGGGACCCTCCTTCACTGCTGGTGGGAATGCCGACTGGTTAAGCCCTTGTGGAAAACAGTATGGACGATTCTCCAAAAATTAGAAATTGAGCTCCCATTTGACCCAGCAATACCACTCCTCGGAATATATTCCAGAGAGGCCAAAAAGTATAGTCGAAGTGACTTCTGCACTTGTTTGTTCATTGCAGCACTGTTTACAATAGCCAGAATCTGGAAAAAACCTGAGTTCTGAGAACAGATGACTGGTTAAAGAAACTTTGGTACATCTACACAGTGGAGTACTATGTATGCATTAGAAAAGATGAAGTCATGAAATTTACATATAAGTGGTACTATATGGAAAGCATCATGCTAATCAAAATGAGTCAGAAAGAGAGGGACAGACATAGAAAGGTTGCATTCACCTGGGGAACATAAAGTAACAAAATAGGAGACTAACACCCAAGAATAGCTGAGATAAGTACCAGGAGGTTCACACCATGGCTTGGAGACCAGCCGCACACAGTAGGGGAAAAGGCAGCTCAGATAGAGAAGGGAGCACCAAATAAATGGTGTTGGGCGAATCCTCCCAGGATGCGAATTGCGTGCTGAAAGTATACTATCGACTGAATATGATTTCCACTCAATGCCTCTTTTTCAAGCCACAGCACCCAAAAGGAGAGAGAGAACAAAAGGGAATGCCCTGCCACAGAGGCAGGGTGGGATGGGGGAGGAAGGGCGGTGGGAGGGTTACTGGAATCAATGGTGGTGGAAAATGGGCACTGGTGGAGGGATGAGTACTCGAACATTGTATAATTGAAACCCAAGCACAAAAATTTGTAAGTCTAAAACTGTACCTCATGGTGTTTCACTAATAAAAATTAAAAAAAGAACAAAAAATTATGGAAGAATCATCAGAGACTTTGGGAGAATTTTAGCAAGAACACCTAACTAAATGAGTCATTGATGAGACTGGAGTGATAGTACCTGGACAGGTGCTTGCCTTGCAACCCACCACCTTGGGTAGATAACTGGCACCCCATTTGTCCTCTGAGCTATCCAGGAGTGATCCTTGAGTACAGATCAGGAGTAACCCCTGTGCTCTAACAGATGTGGCACCCCCAAAAGGAGATCTTGAGGAAAAGAAAAGTGTAAAATGAAAACGTTTCAAGAAATTATAGCTATGCTTGCTCCTCAAGCCCATGTTTTCCCTTGAACACATTTACCCTCTTTCTCTCCTCTCACATCTTTCTAATAAGTTTCAGTGAAAAACTACCTTGCTTTACCTAAAAGAAAAAAGGAAAGAAATTATAGCTGAGAAGTTTCCTATTCTGAGGACTGACTCCCATTTTCAAATCCAAGATGCTCAAAGAATTAAAAAATTATTTCTCTACAAAATTTTTATTATTTTTCCCCATTCATTGCTATTCAACAAAAATAGATATTAAACCCCCCTGTGCCAAGAATTCTAGGACTAAAGGTACAAATACAAAATATTAGGTCTATTTGACAGAGAGATATTAAACATATAGATAGGCAGCAATCCACACAATAAAATTAAGAGATCAATGGACCAGAGGCTAGCAACTGAGTGGAAATTAGACCTATTTTAAATAAGAAGCTTACAGCATGCTTCTTTGAAGAGGTTCTAAGATATGAAGAACAATGAGACCACAATAGAGAGATGTATGCAAGTGACAAAGATAGGCAGCGCCAGTGATATGGGTCACAGTAGAGTACATGCCTGAAAAGGGTGGGGTCCTGTATTCAAACTTCAGCACTGGAGAGAGAGGGACATAGAAGACCCAGATGACCGAGGGGAGTGCATAAAAGGTGAGAAGCAATATATGGTGTCTCAAGGATCTTATTCTCTATTGATCCCCACTACCAGCTTCAGTTTTTACATTTTTACCTCTGATGTATTATATCTTCATTTTCCTTCCAAAGATTTCTTTTGAGCCATTGGACACAAAAACAAAATGTGTATCTCCTCATGGGATCTGAAATTCCTAACTGACTGACACATGGACTGAAAAGTCCAAACTCTCAGTGGCGAATCATTAGCACTGTCATTGTTTCAGTTGGAATTCCCATGAGATCAGATGAGATATAGTCTGAGGTCCCAAAACATTGTCTGGAATCATAGATAGGCTTTGTCCTTTTCTTTTTCTTTACCTGCTTCTTTTGTACCCTCACTGCCTTTCCCTGGGACACATTTTAAGTGAATGGCCTTCAATCATTTCCTCATTGTAGGATCAACTCCTGCAGAAGCAGACAGAATGCATTCTTCTCACGAATAAGGATTTTTGGAAATGAAACACCTACTATGAATTATTTTATGGGGGCAGTTGAGTTTTGAGAAATGGTTATGAGCATGAACTCTGGTTCCAATTTCCTACCATATAATTATGTGACCCTCAAAAATGGCACAACCCTGATTTCATTTGCTCATCTGTAAAATAGACAGACTGAGCCTATTATGAGCTCCAGAGAACTTTCATGACATTGCATATTAGACTACAAGGTTACAAAAGAAGGAATGAGAATATTGAGTAAAGTTACATAAGCATCCTATTTCTAGAGAAATAACAGTACTCTGCCCAACAGAACATAGAGTGATTAGTGGCAAATTTTCCAGTTAGTGGTCTTTCCTTGGTCTATTGTTCTGTGAAATAATGAAGAATAACTGGCTATAGCCAAGGACAATGACCAAGGGAGTTTTTTTGAAAGTCAGGAAGGTTGTGGTACTTGTGATGGTTTTACCTTAAACTTGAGTAAGATCAAAAGGTGAAATAAACTAAGCAATAAAGGAAAATAGAGAGCCAATTGAGAATGTGCAAGAAATATTGATCAGGTAGTAGAGCTATTATAAAGGGCTGACGTCATGCTTTGCATGGAGGAGGGCCAGGTTCAATCCCCACATGTTCCTCCAATGACTCTGAGAATTGCAGCAATAATGTCCCCTAAAAAAGCATTGTCATTGATTTTGAATGAATATACAATCAGAGAGAGAGAGAAAGAGAGAGAAAAGAGAGAGATGGAGAGAGAGCTACAAACAGACAGAAGACAGACAGATGCATTCTGATTGTGAAAAGTGAAACTGAGGGTTCCATGGCAAAAACTTCTAACTCATGACTGCCACTGAATCAAAGGATCTGAACAGGCTTATGCATCCCTCGTATATTTCACTGGTATCAGAGCTGGAAATTATTTTCCAAAGATTAAAAATGGTAGAGGTGGGGAGTGACTGACAACAAGTGAAAGAAATCTTTGCTTTGCAATGTGTAAGGAAAATAACTCTATATAACAGATTTTCAGAACTTTTTTTTGTACATTAACTTAACAACTCTTGCAGATGTTTTAATAGTATTCAAAATTAGCCACATGGTATCAATGGCATAACTGACACTTTCATCTCCAACTCTAGGAAATAGAAAATATATTCATTTTAAAGGAATGATGTGAATGGTTTTAATCCAGGTCAAATACTTGAATCCTACCCTCTTGTACCTTGCAAGCTGTGTGAACTCAGTAAGTCGCCCGAATCCCATTTTCTTAACTGAATTATGAGACAATAATTATAGGCACTCTTCACAGAATTATTTAATTAAAAGCACTTTGACTTGTCTGGCAGTTAAGACATGCTCTCAGTACAGATCTTAGACACATTTGCCAAAAAAACTTTTTAGCAGTCCACAAAAATACCTATCACCTCCCCGTTTGGCACCAACTGACCAACTGGGCTATTTTCCCCACTCATTCATTTCTTTTCTACTCTTAATCTTATGTCCTCACTACTTGTTGGGTCACCCTCATGTCCTGGAAAACAAAACTAAACTAGATAAAAGAACTCTAAGACACACTGTAGAATGACAAAGCCAAAGAGATAGAAATAGAATCTTGAGAGCACCACAATTAAAGTTAAACATATATACATGTAATCTTTATATATATATTTTATATATATATTTGTATTTACTCGAGCAAATACAAATATATATATATATAAATATACATTTATATATATATATAAAGAAACTGCCATAGAAATTAAATTATCTAGGCTAGTAAAGAATGATTTGATACAGCAAACAAGTTGGATGACACTAAAACCCCATAAGAATTCTCAACTGAATCATCAGTCAAACTTGAAGGAAGGAAACAAAATTGTAAAGAAGGAAAATTCTAAAGAGGTTCCTGACAATTAAACCAAACTCATTTGAAACACTAACAGGATTCATTTAAAAGGCAAAAATCCAGATTTGAAAGCAGTAGACAATAACATAAAATGAGGAAAAGTTTTGAGAAACAATGGCGTCTTCTGTAATACACCTGGTGCTTGCTTGCTGTGAAGTTAAAATAGGATACAGACACATAATTGAAGAGAAGACCCCCCAAAATGGAGTACTGAGCTTCCATAAGATCTAGAATTTCTAGCTCTGAGGATCATTCCAAAGAGCACAACTACAGCAGAAAGGGTGTTTGCCTTGCATGCAGCTGGCCTGGGCTGACTTCGGTTCAATTTCTCCACCCCTCTCGGAGAGCCTGGCAAGCTACCGATTGAGTATCATGCCTGTATTGCAAAGACTGGCAAGCTACCTGTGACGTATTTGATATGCCAAAAACAGTAACAACAAGTTTTACAAAAGAGACGTTACTGGTTCTCGCTCAAGCAAATCGATGAACAACCAGAGGACAGTGCTATAGTGCTTTGTTTTTCTGTATTTATTATGGTGCTAATCACAATGGCCAGACCTAGAATCATTCCAAATATCCAGTAACACATAGTGGATAAAGAACTGTTGTACATGTACAATAAGAAAAGGTGAAATCCAACAGTTCATGAAACTCAGCTAGAACTCCAGGGTGTTATGCTGAACAAGGTGAGTTAAAGGGAGAAAGAATCTAAACTGAGGAAGTAGGCCTTGTTAATCTTCCCTATTGATCACTTGTTCTGCTCTAACTAGCCTGGGAATAAGACATCTCTGTTTCCTCCAAGTGCTCAGACTCACCTGCAGCAACTTCTGTGCTGAGTCCTGACATTTCTTGTCCAGTTCCAGGATGCAGTTCCTGAGTTCCTGTAGTTTGTTGTCCAGATGGGCTACATTTTCCTGCAGGCTGCTCAGCTTCTGTTCTTTTTCTTTCTTCAGTTGACACATATATAATTCCTCCTCCTCATGCAGGAATGTGTGAAGAATGCTAAATTCATAACGAATTCTATCTTCTTCATGCTTTATTTTTTCCTATATGGAAGAAAATTACTCAGAATGTGAATACAGACTAAATGTTTATCAATGATACATCCATACACAATAAGAGTCACACAGAAATAAGCAAAATATATTCCATAGTAATAAGGAAGGAACATTTGATACAATGCACAACATGGATGAGTCAGCTAGGCAGTCAGCAAAGCAAAGGAGGTCAGAAATAGAGAGACAATATTATAATCATATTCATAGAGACAGTGAATACAAGAAAATAGGAGGAAGATGTTTGAGGACTAGGAAGAGAGAGAGTTTCAGTTTTGATAATGAATGAGTTTTGCAGGTGTATAAAGGTAATGACTGAACAAGGGTATGGACAAAATTAACTGCCACAGAGCTGTCCACTCAAAAGTATACAAAAAGTGACTTTTATGTTATACTTGCTAAAACACACACACACACACACACACACACCACAAAGTTCCTCAGTTAATGTGCCATAGCCTAAAGAGTTCTCCATATTTCCTAGACCAGAGTTATGCCTGGGTGGCAGATATTAAAGGAGAAGAGGTCGTCACAATTATACATAGTTATCTAAATAAATGCCTTCCGCTTCACCAAGAAGGTGCTGTAAGGAGTATGAAATTTGGCCAAGGTAAATAAAAGGTGTGTTATAAAATAAATGCAAACTTTAATTTTGATATAAATATGTGTTCCTGTGTTTCAGATAAACTTTCTGTTCAAGAAAATTCTGAAGTTTCTACATGAATCTTACTGAAGTTTTTAACTGACACATCACAACTGGATTAAGATGACCTTCCTGGTGAGGTCATGAATCTCACTCATCAGGGAGAAGCCCAGTTGGCAGATTCTGATCATCACTTGTATCACTTGTTATTGCGTTGCTCATCTATTTGCTTGAGGGACAGCCAGTAATGTATTCATTCGTACCTGTCATGTGCTAATGTTCCCCAGTGGCATCTGCTTGCTCCAGGAATATGAAGAGCCTCAAACCGTTTGTTCAGGATCTTGACAAAGAAGTCTGACCATCTCGTAGGTGGGTAGCCAGGCATTCTTTTGACATGCTGTGGAATCCAGTTGGTAACAGCTCTAGTCCAGTGGATGTCTTCAAATGATATTGCATGTCCAGCCCATCTGATTTTCAATGACTTGGCAAACGAGACAGCGCCCCTGATTCTTGATCGTCCCCAGAGGTTGGAACACCAGATTCCTTATCTCACTTGAGTGAAGCGTGATACTCAAAACATAGCTCTTTTGATTTTTCTTTGGGAGACCTGAATAGCATTCTCACCCTGTTTTCATAGGACCCAGGTCTCTGAGGCATATGTTAGTGCAGGAAGAACAGTGGAGTTGAAAAGATGTGCCCAGAGCCGGAAGTTCTTTATTCTCTTAACAACTTCTTTGATGCTCTTAAGGCATTTCACACTGCTCTCTTCCTCCTGTGCAGTTCTGGCACCAAGTCGTTCCTCATGTTGAATTCACAACCCAGGTACACATAACTGCTGCATTTGGAGATGTTCATTCCATAGAGAGCAAATAGAACGTCAGGAACTAGTTCATTTCTCATGAACACTGTCTTGGTGAGATTCAGCTGCAGTTTGAACTTTCCAAACTCATGGTCAAAGTCGGCCAGCATTCGTGTCTCTTGGCTAATGTTTGGTGTTATTAGAACGGTGTCATTAGCGAAGCAGAGGAGGTGTAGTTGCCGACCGTCTATCTTCACTCCCATTCCTTCCCATTCCAGTCGTTTCATGACTTTTTCCAGGGTGACATTGAAGAGTTTTGGTGAGATGGTATCACCCCACCAAACCCCTCCCTTTACTTCGATGATCACTTCTTATAGAATGGTGATATCCTGGTGGTGAATCCGTAATACAGCTCATGGTAGATACTGATGTACTGAGTTTGAATGTCCTGGTTGGCTAGGGATTCGATGACTGCTTCAGTCTCAACAGAATCATAGGCCTTCTTTAAATCAATGAACGTTAGAGTGGCATCTTGAACTCTCACAAAACCTCAATGACATTGGTCACCATGTGGATATGGGCTATTGTGCTGAATCCTTTTCGGAAGCCTGCTTGCTCACATTGTTGTCCCTTGTCTAGTATTCTGCCAATCCTATTCAGGATGACTCTAGTGAACAACTTTTAGACGATGGACAACAGGCAGATAGGGCGATAGTTGCCGATGTCATGGATCTATCCTTTCTTGTATAATAGATCAGTCCTGCTCGTTTTCCACTGGGACCGAACCTTGCATTCAGACAGGTAGCGTGTGAAGAGCTGAGTCAGTGAAGAGCTGATGGGCACTGGTGGCAGATTCTTCAGGTGTTGGGATCTGACCTTCTCTGGACCCGGTGCTGTACATTTCTTTACCAAAGAGATGGCATGTCTGATTTCGGAAGGGAGAATGTTGGGAACGACATATCCATCCTGTGGAATTTGGTATGTGGGCAGGAGGACATAGCTATCAAAGAGATCTGAGTAGAAGTCATGGATAATCTTCTCCATTGCCCTTCTGGAAGATGTGATAGATCCATCAGTATGTTAGAGGGCAGTCATCTTGGTCTTATAGTTGGCAAAGGACAGACAGTCATTGCGAATACTTTTCCCGGATTCTATTGCATTGGCCAACACTACTGCTCTTCTCTCTTTGAGGTCTTCTTTATTGCTTTTCTGGATAGCTTTGCGAGCTCAGATGTTAGCTTATGATTGTCTAAACCACATTGGCGAATGAGCTTGAGAGTTTCCGAAGACAGGCGTCTTTCTGTGGCTTTCTCATTCGCAGCATTCCTTGCACAGTTATGAAGGTACTGAACCAGTTGATCAGATTCCTTGTAGATGTTGTCAATGACAGCATCTTCCCATATTGCTGCAATAGTGCCAAAAAGCTCCCAGTTGGTGGTCATTTGAGAGTTCTCTTCTTAAACTTTGTTTCCCTTTCTCTCCGCTCTGTGAATTGGAATTTTGCATGAAGGAGATGGTGGACTGATCCAGTTCAGAATTTGGGTACAATAGAGACATTGGTTAGGCAAAACCATCAATTGAATATAATGTGGTCAGTTTCATTGTGGAACTGTCCACCGGGAGACTCCCATATCCAACGTTTAGATTAGGCCTTCTGGAGCTGTGAGTTATCATGGATGGTCTTGGTTAACATGACAAACTCAGACAGTCTCTCACCCTGTTTGTTCTATTCTAGGCCGTGGGTCCCAATGTGGAGTTCTTTGGGTGACCTTTTCAGTCGTATCTTGGCATTAAAATTACCGAAAGTGACCTTGTAGACAGCGTGGTCTTCTTTATAGAACTTCTCCAGCTCCATGTAGAACTGCTCAATTTCTTCTTTGTTGTAATTAGATGCTGGTGCATAGACAATGAAGATAGAAACTGCCAGCAATGAACCACATCTATTCAAACGTAAGCATCCTAGTAGGGTTGTTAGGCATTTGAACAAATCGATGCTTATGGCCAATTTCATATTGATGAAGACACTGACACCACTGATGCCTCTACTGTCACATGTTCCAAGGAACAGTTCTTCTCTAGTGTCTAAAATACCGTGATGTGATTGATGTTATCTATTCTTGGTCAGTCCAATGACGTTGCACTTGATCTTCTGAGCTTGCACCATTAGGTCCTCAATGGATGCTTCTGATGCCAGCATAAGCGCGTTGAAGATACAGATAGTCATTTTAATCCTTCTTCATTTTGGCATCCTAGCTCTGCCCTGAGATTTCCTTCTCAATGCTGCTCTATTGGGAACTCTTTCAGGTTCTGGGGAATGACGCCCATTATTGTTACTGTTTTTGCCATATTGAACATACCACAGGTAGCTTTGTGACTCTGCTCTTTGGGTGGGATACTCTCAGTAGCTTGCCGAGCTCTCCGAAAGGGACAGAGTCCTTTAGGGTGACCTCCAATCGTTCTTATAGGTGCTCCCAGTCTAGTGAATGCAAGCGTTTGGTTGACTGGCATGTTGTAATGGTCTGCATGCTGACAAACACGCACCTGTCTGGGTCTCTGGGCAGCACATCTTGGTTCACTTTTATCCAGTTGGCACCATTGCCACCCCTGTCACGATGAAGTGATGAACCATGGAGGGAATTCTGATCATAAATACTAGAAATACCAACCCCAGTTCAATTAACCACCCTAGTGTGTGATTATGGCTAAAATGATTGATCTGTCCTGTACGACACAAGTTTTATTTGGTATGGTGGGGACTAGAACTTTAATTTTTTGTTTGATTTTCTCACTTCAGAAAGTGTTCCAATGTCTCCGAAATTAATAGAAGAGTAACCTATTTGTTTTTAAGTGGGAATCAAGCCTACCTTCAACCTATGTATTTATAAAATGTTTTTTTTTGAGCTGTGAAGATCTTCCCACAACTCAAGATGCCAGTAATGAAAGCAAAAGGCTTTCTTTTGAAAGATCATATTGTGTATTTGACATAGAGAATAAGGATTGAGTTTTAAGACACCATGGAAGAGGCAAAAATGGCTTACTGGTCTGTGTGATAATATTCCAGACTAATACATTATATAAAATATATATATATATATAAATTATGTTTCCATTGATAGGAACTCTGGCTAATCACTGTACTAGAGACTCAAATTTTGTAATTGTCTTTTTTTGTCTGTTTTTGTAGTAGTTCTGGTCCTCCATATGAACAGTCTCATGAAGTTGAGCTCAATGCATCTCATCAGAATGAATCTCTAAGTGTCCAGAAATAGTTGGTCTGTTCTGAAACACTTGAGTGTCAGGTATTGCATTGTGGAAAATGCACCAAAATGGTGCAGTTGAGGTTTCAAAACCAATAGGTACTTTCAAAGGTTGAGAATTTGAATCCCATCAAGAATCTTTCCAGGTCAGATGTAATATTCCTACTTCTCCAACTCAGATATTAGGAATCCTACATAATTACTATCACAAGGTAGAAGTATTTTCAGTAAAAATATACTAGATGCATAGAACTAAAGGAGTAAAGAGAAATGGTTCTTTCTACATCACTTTTAACAATCTGGACCATTTATTGAGTAATAAACCCTTATAGTGCTTTCACCAAGCAATAACTACTACTAGACAAGGTGATGGCATACAGTTTGACCACAAGAAGTTTCAAATTCTCACCTCCCAACTACTTATTTTCTGAGTTGTGTCTTTCTTCAGCTGCTTATATTTGGATTCTGTGATTTTCAACTTTGCTACTGCTTCCTGGAGCTTTTCCTGTGGGGAAAATTGGGTGTTATTTTATTCAATTGGATAACTCTTCACAACATCAGCAGAAATCACAGGCTTTCAGACAATTAGAATAACGTTAAGTACTTGTTGAGGCCTTACATGCTGGGAGAAAGAGTAATCAGTCCAGCAATACATTTGATCTACGTGGCAATCTGCAAAATTAGTAAGATGCTTAACAAAATTTCTGTGTTGTAGAAATCAAGTCTTTGTACTGGCTTCAGAAACCTGTTCAAGGGGGAAAAACATATTCCTCCATCCCATATAAGATTAAAGAATGAGGCGGCAGGATAGTACCCACTCTGTTATTCTACAAAAGTTAAGGCAGACTTCATACATGCCTTTGCATGAGTTTTAATCTAAACCTCTCACTGGAGTTTAATTCACAGACATTTATTTCTAAATATTTAACAACCCCTGTAAGTCTTTATTTCACTATGTCCCTACCCTATGCTTATGGAAATAATATGAATTTTAGAAATTGGTGGCTCTATTTTATTTTGAGAGAAAATGGTTTTCTCATGTCAGCATTGGTCCTCAGTAAACTAACAAAAACATTCAGTTCCCAGTACTCCTTTGAGATATGATTAATACTCTCAACTGTGATCAATGTTAAAGGTTTAAATTATACTCTTGTGTCCTTACCTATCTTTATCCCCATACACACCCTGGTCTGGTGCCAAAGAACCTTTATTATCTATGCCCTTGTCATCATTCTTGAGTGTAGAAGTCCCTATCTTTTCTCCTCCCTTTGAAAGCTGTGCTCCATCAAAAGATACCAGATATCTATCAATTGTTTATTGGTTTGGTTTTGTCTTTTGGGGGTCAAACCTGGAGATGCTCTAGGGTTACTCCTGGTTCTTTACTTGGAAAGAACTCCTGGCAGTGCATCAGGATCCATATTATATGTCAGGAATGAAACCCTCATTTGCCATGTGGAAGGCTAGTGCCCTAAAAGCTGTATTATGACTCCAGCTCCTTCATGATTTTCCAATGAGCATGATATTCTACCCTTGTGTAAACACAAAAAGGGACAGTTTCGGATGTCAACACAAAGAGGGCATGGCATGGCCTATCTCTCCCGCTCCCACGTTCGGTAGTTTTAGGACATTTCCCCACTCCAGGGAGGTCGATAGCTATGGGAAGGCGAAGGAAGGAAACGAGGGCCAGGCTGGTTGGTCTTAGTAGCAATATATTACAAGGAAGTTTATCCCATAAGAGAAATTTATGTCATGGAGGGCCCAGGTTCTCTCAAGCACATGTTCCCCAGATTCTCTCAGTCTGTGTTCCCCATTCTCTCAGACCTGCCTCTCCAGTTCTCTCAGTCCCCCTAGAGAGCCCTGAAATGTCCTTATATATCATGGTACCTCTAAAGGGCGTGGGCTGGAGCAATAGCACAGCGGGTAGGGCGTCTGCCTTGCACGCAGCCAACATGGCCGACCCGAGTTCGATTCCTCCGCCCCTCTCGGAGAGCCCGGCAAGCTACCGAGAGTATTCGATATGCCAGACACAGTAACAACAAAGTCTCCAATGGAGACGTTACTGGGCCCACTCGAGCAAATCGACGATCAACGGGAGGGCCTTTACTTTACTTTTACTTTTACTAAAGGGCTTAATACAGTTATTGGGTGTTATTTTATTCAATTGGATAACTCTTCACAACATCAGCAGAAATCACAGGCTTTCAACAAAATATACATTAATAACAAAATATACATTGTTTCTTTATATCTGTAGGCCAGTAATTTTGGCCTCCTGAAAGAAGATACAAAACGCAAACTGAAACCTTTCACAAGCATTTTCACAAGTTATAAGCACTTGGATTTGCATCCCAAAGACCAGTCTGCTAGAGCTTGGAATGTACAACCAAAAGAAAAGATTCTGAGCTTTGCATCCCAAAGACTAGCCTGGGAGAGCCTGGAATCTATATCTCAAAGATCAGGCCTGAATAGCACCTGAGATCTGCATATCTAAGATCAGCTAGGTTTCTGTGAGAAAAGGAAAACCTGGGTGTGTTTCTCCTTTCCTTGTTCAGCCAACATATAAGCATACATAATATAAATCATTTTGTATGGACACATTAAGAAATACCTTAAGCTTATAGAATTGGTCTCCTAGGGCCATCTCGATCTCAGAACTACAGTGCTTAGGCCAGATAGTTTTTCCTATCCTTAGCTGGGTCCTAGCCTCGTCGTTACTTTTGAATCATGACAGCATTTGCCTATGATCAAACTCCTAATTTATATTTAAGAATAGTGACACCTTGACCTGGCCCATTTCGATGCCAGGGTAGCACATAACTTACCGCTTCCTGGTTCCATCCAGTCACTCGTCAGGACCCTGCTTTTGGGGGAACTAGGAAGTGAGGGCAACTGAGGCTTAAGTTGAGAAAGCAGATGCCAGGAATGAATAATATTCAAAGCCAATTAAATCCTAAATTACAAAGCATAATATTAACTGTCTTCCTCTATCTATGCAAAAAGGACATTGCATTAAAATAAACAATTCAAAAGACATAAGGAGAGGAGAAAGGCAATATTAACTTACAAATTCAGTGTCCTAGAAGGATCTGACCTTACAAATTAACAGATTCTGATTATGCGAAAAGCTGAGTAACCGGTTGGGGAAGAGAGCACAAAGAAGTGGTTACAGATAAACAAAGTAATGGGAATGATTCGGGAGCACTGTGATGGGTGCAACCTGATAAACCTAAGCACCTTGTATTCCAACAATCCTGAATTGTCTGGATTGATCTCCGTATATAGTACTAACTTTAACAAAATTGGGCGGGGGGCAGTGGTGCTCTGTTTGGTCCCTTACTGCAGGTAGATTTCCAGGGGCAATACTACATCATTTCTTTTTTTTTTTTAAAGGATCTGGAATTTCTAATAAGCTTGGAAGGCCAGAAGTGAGGCTATTTCCTTTGTAAGTCACTGAACCTGGTTTCATCCTGGGTTTGCATACATTGTATGAGTACAGTCAGGAGTGATGCCTAAGCACAGAGCCAGGAGAAAGTCTTGAACGTTATATGTGCAAATCGAAAATGGATATTAAAAATTTCATTTCAAATAAAATTCCATGACCAGAACTTTAAGTGGTGAGATCTAGAGAAGATTCAGTGATATCCTATCACTTGATCACTTGATCACTTGACATCCGTTACTAATCGATTTGCTTGAGTGCGCACCAGTAACATCTCCATTCCTCCCTGTCGCGTGCTAGTGTAGCCCAATGGCGTCTGCTCATTCTAGGAACACGAAGAGCCTGAAACCGATTGCTCAGGGTCTTGATGAAGAAGTCTGACCATCTCATAGTTGGAAGGCCACGCGGTCTTTTGACATACCCTGGAATCCAGTAGGTAACAGCTCTAGTCCAGCAGTCATATCCAAATCTCATTATGTGTCCAGCCCATTTGATTTTCCATACCTTGGCAAACAAGACAGCGTCCCTGATTCTTGACCGTTAATGGAGGTCGGAACTCTGGATTCTTTCTCTCATTTGAGTGAAGTGTGACACTCCAAGCATAGCTCTTTCGATTTCTCTTGGGAGACCCGAATAGCGTTTTCATCCTGTTTTCTTAGGGCCCACGTCTCTGAGGCATATGTTAATGCAGGAAGAACAGTGGAATTGAAGAGATGTGCCTGGAGCTGGAGGTTCTTCATCCTCTTAGCTATTTCTTCAACGCTCTTGAAGATGTTCCAAACCGCTCTCTTCCTCCTGTGCAATTCAGGTGCCAGGTCATTCGTCATCTTGACTTTTCGATCTAGGTACACATAACTGTTGCATTCAGAGATGGTCGTTCTGTTGAGAGCGAATGGAGCGTCAGGAAAGAGGTTGTTTCTCATGAACATTGTCTTCGTAAGATTCAGCTGTAATCTGACCTTTCCACACTCACAGTCGAAGTCAGTCAGCATTTGTGCTGCTTGGCTAATGTTTGGCGTTGTTAGAACGATGTCATCAGCAAAGCAGAGGTGGTGTAGTTGTCGACCGTCTATTTTCACTCCCATTTCTTCCCATTCCAGTGGTCACATGTCGTTCTCGAGGGTGGCACTGAAGAGTTTCAGTGAAATGGTATCACCCTGCTGAACCCCCCTCTTGACATCAATGATCACATCTTTGTAGAATGGTGAGATCCTGGTAGTGAATCTGTAATACAGCTCACAGAGGATCCTGATGTATTGAGTTTTAATGCCCTGTTTGGCTAGGGCTTTGATGACCACTTCCGTCTCAACAGAATCAAAGGCCTTCTTTAAATCAATGAACGTTAGACAAAGCGGCATCTTGAACTCCCGAGAAACCTCAATGAGCTTGGTTATCCTGTGGATATGGTCGATGGTGCTGAATCCTTTGTGGAATCTGGCTTGCTTGCATGGCTGACCTTCATCTAGTGTTCTGCCAATCCTATTTAGGATGACTTAACAGCTTGTAGATGGCAGAAAACAGGCAGATCAGGCGATAATTGCCAATGTTGTGGATGTCTCCCTTCTTGTACAGTAGTACAGTTCTGCTGGTTTTCCATTGGGATGGAACCTTGCATTCAGACAGGTAGTGTGTGAAGAGCTGAGCCAGCATATTGATGAGTACTGATGACAGGTTCTTCAGGTGTTCAGGTCTGACCTTGTCTGGGCCCGGTGCTTTACCGACAAAATGGCGTGTCGGATTTCGGAAGGGAGAATGTTGGGAACGACATATTCATCCTTTGGAATTTGGTATGTGGGCAGATGGACATGACTATCCAACAAATCCGAGTAGAAGTTATGGATAATCTTCTCTATTGCCCTTCTGAAAGATGTGATAGATCCATCAGGACGTTGGAGGGCAGTCAACTTCGTCTTGTAGTTGGTGAAGTTCAGGAGGGCATTGCGAATGCTTTTCCTGGCTGCTGCCATATCTATCAGCACTACTGCTCTTCTCTCTTTGAGGTCTTCCTTTATCACTTCTCTGCACTGCTTTGCGAGCTCCAACATTAGCTTTTGATTGCCTGAGGC